CACCCCACCCCACCCCCACCCCCACCAAAACCATCTTCTTCTTCTTCTTCTCTCTCTTCTCTCCAATCTCTAATTTTTATTATTTAAACATACTATAAGAAAGATCCCATCAGTATCTTTGTGATAAGTCTCACAAAAATTCTTCTCCAAGCTGAAAACTTTATTACAATATTACCATTTTTATCTTTTTCTTGTTTGCTTCAGACTTTCTCATTAAAGCACTCGTATCCCACTTTGGACTTTGGTTTCAGACTTCCCATTGTCAAGATTTTTTTGTTTTTTATTTTTTGCTAATGAATAAAGTTTCTGTTTGAGATCAGTTTGATATTTTAGTTGTTTAAACAGTGAAGACACATTGCTGGCAAAGTTGCATTCTTGGATTATTTTCAAGAAGTAAAAATGTGTGAAGGAAAGTTTGATTCTATGGCAAAAGAAACACTGAAGAGCCTTTGTAGAAGCCATGGTTGGTCTTATGGAGTTTTTTGGGGTTTTGATCAGAGAAATTCTTTGTAAGTTTTTCAACTCTTCTCTCTCTTTTTTTTTCATGCTCACCATTTTATTTTCTCTCTGTAGTTTTTTAATTACTGTAATGAAAGTCTTTTTCTCTCTCTTTTTACTCTAAAGGACTTGCTTTTCTTTCAAAGGAGAAGATTTTTAAATTTTTTTTTTTTGGTTGAGAATTTTGATAATGATAGTGTATAGCCGGTGTAAAAATAATAGCCGAAAAATGTATAAAATTTGTATTTTTTGTGACTTAAATAGTTTTTGGCGCGGGCTAAAAGGGATAATTTAGTACTACTTTGTTTGATATGTTTTACAAATACTACAATAAGATGTTTTTGGTAAGTTAAAGTTGTGGAATAATAGTCCTTTTTAAAATGATAAGTGATAGTAATTTCTAGTCCAATGGTACTGTTTTAATTTCTCTAAATCGTAAATTACATGAATGTCTTGGATTCTAAGATCTATTTGATTTGTTTTTTAATTAAAAGATATTTCTAGTTCAGTCTCTTCTGCCAAATTCAATTTGGTTTTGTGATTTTCTTGACATATTTTATGAAATTACAGCATTAGATTTTTGGAGAATAGCTAAATTTTTTTGTTACTGAAACTTTCTTTTTTATAAATGGGGAAAAAAAAAGATTTCTGAAGGCAAAAAGAGTTTGCTTTCATTTGATTTTTTTTTTTTTTATAAATATTTTTGGTGTACTGAAATCTTCTGCATGTCAGATTATTAACGTTACAAGATGCATACTATGAGGAACAAATGGGAGCTGTGATTGATGAAATGCTACTTCAAGTCCATGTTCTTGGAGCAGGGTATGCTGCAAAATTAAATCTTTCTTCAGAAATTTCAGTTAAATTCAATGGCTTAAAGTTGTAGCCGGTAAAGTTGCTGCCATGTGACTACGTGGTCACTGGTTCAAGCCGTGGAAACAGCCTCTTGCAGAAATGCAGGGTAAGACTGCATACAATAAACACTTGTGGTCCGGCCCTTCTCCGGGCCCTGCGCATAACGGAAGCTTAGTGCACCGGGCTGTCCTGCTCCTCAGTGGCTTAAAGTTACAAAGTTTCCACAACCATATTTTTTATGATATGACTTTTTACAGGATAATTGGCCAAGCAGCATTTACTAAGAAACACAAATGGATGTTTTCTGATGCTAACAATGGAAAGCAGATCCCCATTGGATCATCTAATAATTCCAATTTATTCCAGGTAATTATAATTTGTTTTCTTGCTTTCAAAAGCAGACTTGTTTTTAACCTTCTCTTTGGAAAAGTTGTTAGTAAAATAACAAATTTTAATGATTTTAAGCCTGTCAATTGTGTCTTTGTTTTGTAGGATGATGCTGAATTTGAGCAACAATTTTCTACTGGGATCAAGGTACTCTTTTTTTAATTTCTTAGTTGTCCTATTTCAAATCCAGCACCAGCAAAATGTTGGTTTTTACTCTATAACAAATGGTTTTCTTGTTATTTTGCAGACAATTGCTGTAATCTCATTTGAACCGCTAGGCGTTCTGCAATTTGGTTCTACTAGTAAGGTTAGTACTAATGTCTATATTCAGCTTAACGTCGTCTTTATTTCACTAATTCAGTAGTCATCGAGAGTTAAAAAATTACAATATATTGCGGCAATCACTTCTTTGATTAGTGAAAGAAGGCATGCTCATTGATCTATGCTAATTTTGTCCATTTTCGATCAAATTTTGAAACCTCAAACTGTAGATTCTTAAGTTGTATATATGTTTACTTAATTATTTTGTTTTCCGCAGCTTCCAGAGAGGACAGGTTTTGTGGATCAAGCTAGAAAACTTTTCCAGGGGATAGAAGTCGAAGCAGGAAAGTTTTCATCGCAAGTTTCACCTTCATTTTCAAGTGGTGAAATATGTGGTTTATTAGGAGGATCATCAGTTTCATCAATCTGGGAGAATCTGCATTTTGTGAATTCCAATGTTCCGCCAACTGCAAACAGTGAAACTTTTATGAAGGAATCTTGTTTATTAGAAGATCTCATAGCGGGCAATCAGATAATGACATCTGATGCAGCTACATCATCTTTGAGCGAAAACCAGTTTCAAAATGTTCAGTTCAATTCCTGCAGTGGCCAATTTGACACTCAATTGCAGCAACCGACGTTCCAGTCTGCTGGTTTCTTTACCGGCTTCCAGGATTCTTGTCTGACTTCAACTTGGGATGATCTCGCATCAAATATGAGCATACAAGATTTTGATTATGTCCTTTCCGCGGAGCCAAACCATTTTGAATATCGCGCAGATGCAACTCAAAGCTTTCATGAGAGCTCATCATTCAGTTCCTTAGGTGGATTCGAAGTACTTGCTGATGGTGATAAGACCACCGAGCTGTATTGCACACCGTTGATCAACCAGAGGAATGATGGAGCACTTAGTACTATCAATGATAACCTATTCGATACGATGGGAATTATCTCAGCGTCTGCCAATCTAAACGAGCAGCGTAATTTTAATCTAGACTGTGATGCTTCTGTTTCAATACAAAGTTCCATCACCAACGCCTTTAACCATGTTGAAAAAGGAAAATGTTCAAACATGTCTCCCTTCGAGAAAATGACTGGTTTGAACCCGGATGTTAGTGGTCAGTACCCGGACTTTAGCACTTCCAACTGTGGATGGAACTCTGGTCAAGCTAATGAACTCAGATCTAGGCCTGATAACAGGTTATTCTCAAAACTGGGAATAGACCAGCTTCTTGATGACGCCTTGAACGGATCTTGTTCATTTGCTGGATCTGTTTCCGATGATCAGTTGTCAGGAACCAATAAAAGAAGAAGAATTGGAAGTTCTTCAGGATGCAATTATCTGGCAATGCCTCCTAGATTTTCAAGCTTTGATAAGATTAGAAAGTTGCCTGAATGTAGTCTAGATAGGGCAACTAGCAACCTCGAGGCGAAGAGTGAGGCCATCGCGAAGTTGGATGCAAGTACATTGATTGGAGACAGATGCAGCATCAATGCTTGCAGTACCATTTTACCAGTTAAAGGCAATCAAAAATCCTCAAAGCCTACTAAGAAGAAGGCTAAACCAGGGACTCGGCCTATTCCTAAAGATCGACAGCTGATCTATGAACGTCTCTCAGAGTTGCGAGAGCTTATCCCTAATGGCGAGAAGGTGTTGTCTCTAAGCTCTCTATGTTTTGCTTAATGAACTAACAGAAAGAACTTAACATTGGAAATGCTTCTACTCTTAATTATACTACTACGAAGAACTCATGTTTTATTTGTTTCTTTGACAGATGAGCATTGATCGCTTACTACACAGAACTATAAAGCACTTGCTTTTCTTGCAAGGTGTCACTAAACATGCTGAAGGACTCAAAAAGAGTGAAGATCTGAAGGTAATAATCAATCACGTAGATTAATATGATTTCTTTGAGCAGCTAAAAAGATAAAACATTATTTTCACTGCCAATTAACATGCGTTTTTTCAACCGGCAGGATGCTAAAATTCGATTAGAGAAGTCCAAGACTAATGGCAATGGAGTTACATGGGCATGTGAAATTGGCGATCAAACAATGGTTTGTCCGCTGATAGTTGAGGACCTTAGTACCCCTGGTCAAATGCTTATAGAAGTAAGTAATGGTTTCTTTATCACTTATAATACCTACAATTATTTCGATGAGTCTTGATAATACCTTTATCTTGCATATGATTAACCTTGGATTATGTGTACTCTTTTACTCAGATACTCTGCAAGGAACAAGGTTTCTTTCTGGAGATGGTAGATGTAATTCGAGGCTTTGGCTTGAACATATTGAAGGGAGTGATGGAATCTCGCGAGACAAAGATGTGGGCGCATTTTGTTGTTGAGGCTGAGGTAAATGCTAAACTAGAAAACAGCAGCAACAAATAAAACCACTTTGCTTCTCCTTTGATCTGTTTTCATCTATTTAACGTTTCAATTTTCTCGCAGGGAAACAGGCTAGTAACAAGGCACGAGATCTTTTCATCCCTTGTTCAGCTGTTACACTTGACCAGTACTAGTGAAGTCGGTCTGAACAATCAGCTTCAGAATATTACTGGTGGAAGGACTGCTCTAATAAACGATTGTCCAAAATCTGCTGTGCCCATATCTAGCAGCTTACCTGAAACAATTCGATGTGTAATATAGCGATCGTTGCACTTACTATAGGATCTGTTTGTGGTAACATAGAACATGCAGAGGAGCATATTGAGAGGAAGTTGTATCAAAAAGTTTTTCCCTTTTCAAGATTGCTCCTTCTTTTACACCTTAGGATTATCTTCTTTTTATCTCTTGGCAGAGTTTGATTATAACTTTAAGCTGACTGACTAGCTAGGTAGTTCCAGGTTACTTTTGATTGTTCATTTTTGCAATTTCTGTTTTTTCTTCTGTAATTATGAAACATGGATTACTAAGAAGTAATTACATTAGTCTTACATGAGTTTGAGCTACGGATCTTTTGTCTCTGAGTCGAGGGTCTCCGCGAAACAGCCTCTCTACCCCCTTCGCGGCAGGGGTAAGGTCTGCGTACACTCTACCCTCCCAAGATCGCACTAGTGAGATTCTACTGGGTGGTTGTTATTGTTGTTACATGAGTTTGAGTTTCAGAGCCACACATTATCTACTGAGTATGAACCATGCACACATTATCTATCGAGTTTCGAACCATGCGCCACTGGTTGCCCGATATTTGCAGGTTATAAAAAATAGTGCATGGTTATGTTCTGTTAATGAAAATAGTGACACATGAATCCTCTAATAGCTACACTATTTAAATACTGATGGTGAAAAAGACAGGTGTAATATATATATGGTTGAAACTTGAAGAAAGACAGAAGTCTGGAACTAGATTTTGGCACTTTGATTATGTGTAGAAGTTTGTTCATTTAAACAGAGAGAAATTAACAATGGAGTAAGCAGCAATCAACCTTTTGATAACTGAAGTATTTGCTCAAATAAGTGCAATAATAGTGGAGATAAGTGCTGTCACAGTTCAAATTAAAGCAGAAGAAACCAACTGAAACCTGATTTAATATAAAGTTAGTAACCAAACATTAGATGGATGGCCTAATTTTTCCCCAACTTTGGTAGAACCCCAATACCGAAAGGGTTTTAGATTCACTATACTCTATTCTATAACGTAAATAGTATCTTGATCACAATATTGTCATATTCCAATTTACATGCACTTCGACTATTTCATTTCGTACATGTTATCTCTATTACTCTATAGCTCGATATATCATGTAACTCTTCCTATCAAGATTTAGGCAGACAGAAAGAACTCACAACATTTCATTTATTTCTACTCAGATTCGGACACTGATCTCCCATGGTTTTAATGATCATTTCATTGACGGATAGGCCACACGGTTAGGTGCTATACAACAACAACACAACCCACTAAAAATCCCAGTAATGGTGTCTGGGGAAGGTATAGTGTACGCAGACCTTATCCCTGCCCCGAAACGATAGAAACCAAATATAATCCCACGATTGGGATCTGAGGAGAGTAGTGTGTACGCAGACCTTACTCCTACACGGTTAGGTGCTATAAGGTAAATAAATCCTCTATTCCTCTCAATTTGGGGAAAAAAGAATTAAATAAATATCCAAGTTCAAGCCGAAATGTAGGGTAAGGCTGCGTACAAAAGACCCTTGTGGTCCGGCCCTTCCCTGGACCCCGCGCATAGCGGGAGCTTAGTGCACCGGGCTGCCCTTTTTTTATTCCAAGTTCAAGCCGTGGAAACAGCCTCTTGTGTCACGACCCAATTTCCAACCCGGTCGTGATGGCGCCTCTCGTGAAGACAAGGCCAGCCAACTAACTCAAATCGTCTCTTTAACAATTATTAAACATAAATGAATAGATAAATACAGCTTAACGACAATACTAACCAGTATTTACAACCCAACACAACCCGACCGGGGTGTCACAAGTCACGAGCATCTAGAGAAGTCTAAATACAACTACAGGGCCAAAAATATACGGAATAAAATTTAGAACCAAAGGAAGTAATCCGGTGCCGCGAACGCTGGCGGTCACTTTGCTCAGCTACGATAGCAATACCTTCAACCAGCTCAAAACCCACTACCGGGTGAACAATACCTGCATCTGCACGCGAGGTGCAGGGAGTAAAGTGAGTACTCCAACCCAGTGAGCAATAAAAATGAATAACGGCTGAGAATATAAAATCCCACACAGGCACAGATAATGCTATCTCAACAATAAAATCAAGTAAACAGCAGGGACCAGTGAAACATAGCAAGAAATTCTCTTTGAAAACAATTAATAAAACAAGTATGCTCAAGTATGGTCAGTCATTGTTACCTGACCGGTCAGCCATTGTTACCTGACCCAACGCGTGTTTCAGTGCCATTGTTACCACTGGTTAGCCATTGTTACCTGACTGGTCAGTCATTGTTACCTGACCAAAACACGTGTGACAGTGTCATTGTTACCACTGTCCAATTCTAAATGGGTACCCGCGCTCACTGTGGGTGTGCAGACTCCGGAGGGGCTCCTACAGCCCAAGCGCTATATCATCATAAGGCCTGAAAGCCTGTACATATCAACATGAGCCCTGAAAGCCTTCTCACAATACACTCGAGGCCTGAAAGCCTCCTCACATATCACTCGACATATCCTCACATATGGCCCTAGGCCTCAATCAGTCCAAAAATAATCATAAGCCCCCCAGGCATCAGTAAAGACAATAATGCTCAGCTCAAACAATAGTTCAAACATCAGTTAAAACTCAAGGTTGAGTGAAAATATAGCTGAGTTCATGAAACAGTGTAATTCAAATGGACTGAGTTCATATAATATTTCAAACAGTGATGATAGTTCATAAAGAGTTCAAACAGTCGGCAATAAGCCCCAAATATGGCAATAAGCCCAAATCATAGTGAAAACAACAAGTCATTGCTAATACGCGGTAAAATATCATCCGGACTGGACCAAGTCACAGTCCCCAATAATAAATGACCCCGCGCTCGTCATGGAACGCGTGTCTCATCTCAACATAGCACCAAGTTGTGCAAATCAGGGGTTTCAAACCCTCAGGACGTCATTCAAAATCATTACTCACCCCGAACCGGTGAAATCTCTAGCTCGCGACGCCTTTGCCCCTCAAACAGACCTCCACGCGCGTCGAATCTAACCAAAACCACAAGGAATACGTCACAACAGGCTAATGAATCATAACCAATCGAAAAGACTCGAAACATATCAAAAATCACGAAGTTGGCAAATCCCGAGCCCCGGGCCCACTTCTCGAAAAATTACGAAATTTACATCACCGGATTCCTCGTCTCGCCACGAGTCCATACATATCAAATTCATCAAAATCGGAGTTCAAATGCCCCTCCAAATCCCAAGTTTTCATTCCAAAATATAAGCCCTGGTTCTTCCAATTTTTCCCAATATTTCCAAGAATTAAAAGTAGATTCTTCAAATAAATGATATTTCTAGACCATAGGAATTACCTCCGATTACTTCCCCGTCAAAATCCTCTAAAAATCGCGTCAATAGCTCCCAAGCTCGCTCAACAATGGAGGAAAAATGGTGGAGCTCGCGAATGAATTAAACCCCTCCTTTAACCCTTCTGCCAACAGTCCTTTTTCGCTTCTGCGGTCCCGCTACCGCTTATGCGGGACCGCTGCTGCGGCCAAATGACCGCTTATGCGGTTTTTCATTAATTACACAGCTTCCGCTTTTGCGATTCACTATCCGCTTTTGCGGATCTTCCAAGACCGCTTCTGCGGTTAAAACGCGCTCCTGCGGACCCGCTGATGCGGAAAGGGTCCGCTTATGCGAAACTCTTCACTCAAGCACCAAAATCGCTTCTGCGCCCTTATACCCGCTTCTGCGGAACCGCTTCTGCGGTCCATTTCCGCAGAAGCGGAAATACAGATGACAGCAATTTGCAGACCTGCTACAACTTCAAAAACTCTCGTTTAACCACTCAAATTCACCCCCGAGGCCCCCGGGACCTCAACCAAAAACACCAACACATCCTAATACCTTATTCAAACTTGTTCCAATCCTCGAAACACTTCAAACAACGCTAAAACCATCAAATCACATCGGATTCAAGCCTAAGTTTCTTAAAAACATCCGAATTACGCATCCGCTCAAAAACCCGACCAAACGATGTCCGAATGACCTGAAATTTTACACACATATCCAAAATCACCTAGCGGAGCTACAGCAACTCTCGGAATTCCATTCCGATCCTCGGATCAAAATCTCACCTATCAACCGGAATTCGCCAAAATACTAACTTCGCCCAATTCAAGCCTAATTCTACACCGGACCTCCAAAATCAATTCCGATCGCACTCCTAAGTCACAAATCATTTCCCGAAGCTAACCGAATCACCGGAAATCACATCCGAGCCTTCTAACTCATAAGTCAACGTCCGGTTGACTTTTCCAACTTAGGCCTTCCTTAAAGAGACTAAGTGTCTCATTTTTTATCAAAACCAATCCAAATCAACTCTAACACACCACATACCGATAACGAAACATAAAGAAGCATAAAATGGGAGAAACGAAGCGGTAACACATGAGACGACGGGTCGGGTCGTCACATTATGATAAAACTCCAGCACATTATAAAATTACAGCATATTATGCTGGAAACCCATATGTAAAAAATTCGAACCCCAGCATATTATGCTGGAATATTTCCTGGATTTTTAAGAGTGTTATTGTTCAGATTTTATCTTTACACGAAAAGTGGCTAAATTTCGATTACTTTTGAAACCGTGGCTATTTTTCAGTTATCAGTTATAAATATGGCTTTCTGATATTTTTTCCCTACATATTTCTCCGTTTGTTTTAAAGATTCTCTTTTGATAAGTAAATGCCAAGTTTTATTGATTATAAAAGACTAAAAGAGCACCAAGTGTTGTTGAATATAAAGGGGATACAAATGCACGTAGGAGGTCTAAGGCAATTCATATTGTATACATCTTTTATTTTGGTTGAAGACAACCACAAAGCACAAATATATGTGTTCGAGTGTGTGGACAACATTTTCTTTATTTCTAAAACATCTATGTTTCTTTCGTTCCAAACACCTAAAAAATGCAGGTTGAAATTGTATTCTACACATCTTTGAGATGTTCTTTACTTTTCTTGTCCAACTTATGATAACTTCTTTTAGAGCACCACGTATCAGCCATTTGAGTTTAAATAATCCTTGAAACATGCACTATAGTTGACAAGCAAAGGCAAATTTACCATTTGCTCGATAAAAATCCAATTGCTTCACGAAATGATGGCTTCAGCTTCCTCTAGGCACATGTAGCATCTTAAGCATACATTTTCACCAACATATTTGCTTGAGTTGGTCAGTGCAGTCCACTCCAATAGATTAATGTTAAGATGCTTTCTCTTTCAAATCAGCCTCCAACATGAATTTTCAAATGTGCTACTTAGTGATATAAAAAAAAAATTTAAAAAAAAGAGAGAGAGAGAGAGAGAGAAAAAAACCATTACAATACATATAATCAAGCTTTGAGATATAGCTTCAAGGTTTACTTTTTAAAAATTGTTAATAAGATACGAAGTGAATTAGATTATCGGTATAAGAATTTTTAGTTAGTTCAAGTGACACATACAGATATATACCTATAACTCAAATGAAGTTTAGCAATTCAACAACTCCATAAAACAAAAGAATGCTCTACAGTAAATATCATAAAGCTGAGAGGAGACAATGTGAAGACAACAAGTATGAACTTAAACTGGTTGTAATTCTTTTTTGCCTTCAAAGGTCCTTCTCATCTATATACCTTAATGCTTAGCTCAAGAAGACGATAAAAGAAGGAATTTATGCCCACTACTATGCTAAACATAGAGCAACTTAATAAAACTATTCTTTGATCAGAGTAACCTAAAGAAATTAATACCTCCAATGCTAATATTAAGGACAAGGATACCAACAAAAAAATTCCACTACTAATACAACAAATCAAGAATAAAAGACAGTAGGGTAAATAAACACTTTCATCTTCCTCACAATCACCTAAATATAATCTCTAAGTAAACGAAGGATCCACTAATTTGTGTTTATCAAGATAGATTCAACAAAATAGTACAAAAGTTTATTAATCTCAAAGTTTTCTAATAAAATTACCAAATGTTTCGAATCTTAGACATTCCTGCTCTAGCCATCATTGAAAAGGTTTATGCTAGAACTTTATGATGCGAACATATTAAAACCAATGTAAATTTCTCTTTATCTCCTTTTTTTAGCAATATGTTTCTGGCTCCATTACAAAGTTAACGAGAAGTTTCTCAATGTATTTTGTATTGCATGTAGGCCTTGTACTTTGAACCACTGATTTATACACCTTTATAGCTCAACTTCTTACATAATAATATGAACATCTCTAAGTACCAAATGAGTTGTTGCTGAAAAAATGATCAGCCTTTTCAATTTTGGTGATACTAAATGATCAGTTGTCACCACAAAATAATCATCTTCTTGAAACTTAAACAAAGCACCCATAACAACTTCTTAAGGACTCCTGTTTGCATGGTGGTGCAATTTTATCTTAAATAGCAGTATACTGATACACATATGCATATATCTTTATTATAATGAGCTTTTATATATATCATCATCGGTAATATAAGATCTTAACTATGAAAGCATCCTTAAACTTTGAATATTAGAAGAATATTTCAAGGTGCATACCTGTCCATCAGAAGACAACAGTCTATCCTCGCATGTTTGGCAGTTGCCTAGCAAATAATTCTTCGCACATAGTATTAATCAGAAGACAACAGTCTATCTTCACATTTTTGGCAATTTCCTTGCAAATAATTTATTGCTCGAATTAGCCTAGATTTAGTATTTAGTACTTATTGCTCGGCAAAACAACTAAGACTATATAAATATTACTATATTTCTAACAGAAAAAACTATTTATCAATACCAAACCATATGCTCATAAACACCATCATTTTAAATACAGACAAATTTGAGTCCCCTTGATTCGTCTTGCAAATTATTGAACTTTGCATTTGTACTAAANAACCTGACCAGGGTTCCAAATTCCGATCCTGCGAGGTCTAGCTCACTTCTGCGAGGCCGCCTATGCGGTCCTCCTTCCGCTCCTGCGGAATCTGGCAAGGGCCAAGACTTCCGCTTCTGCGCATCTTCCAATCGCTTCAGCGAGACCGCACCTGCGGTCTTATAACCGCAGGTGCGAAACCAACAGATACCAGCAAGGTTGAACCTGCAATTAACTCCAACAACCTTCCGTTTAACCACCCGAATTCACCCTGAGGCCCCCGGCACCTCAACCAAAAATACCAACACATCCTAATACCTTATTCAAACTTGTTCCAATCCTCGAAACACTTCAAACAACGCTAAAACCATCAAATCACATCGGATTCAAGCCTAAGTTTCTTAAAAACTTCCGAATTATGCATTCGATCAAAAACCCGACCAAACGATGTCCGAATGACCTGAAATTTTACACACATATCCAAAATCACCTAACGGAGCTACAACAACTCTTGGAATTCCATTCCGACCCTCAGATAAAAATCTCACCTATCAACCGGAATTCGCCAAAATACTAACTTCGCCAATTCAAGCCTAATTCTACACCGGACCTCCAAAATCAATTCCGATCGCACTCCTAAGTCACAAATCATTTCCCGAAGCTAACCGAATCACCGGAAATCACATCCGAGCCTTCTAACTCATAAGTCAACGTCCGGTTGACTTTTCCAACTTAGGCCTTCCTTAAAGAGACTAAGTGTCTCATTTTTTATCAAAACCAATCCAAATCAACTCTAACACACCACATACCTATAACGAAACATAAAGAAGCATAAAATGGGAGAAACGAAGCAGTAACACATGAGACGACGGGTCGGGTCGTCACATCTTGCAAAAATACAGGGTAAGACTGCGTATAATAGACCCTTGTGGTTTGGCCCTTCCCCGGACCGCACACATAGCGGGAGCTTAGTGCACCGGGCTGCGCTTTTTTTATTTTATTCCAAGTTCAAATGAGAATACCACAATAGAACACTAAAACTAAGATAGAAGAAAAAAAACTACTATAAACAAACTTAAAAAGCATAATATTAAGTGATTTTGCTAGATAAGCTAATCGTCAGAAACTGATAGCAAGAGGATTCTGATGAAAGAAGCACTAATCTGAAAGGATTACTATAACTGGAAAGCTAATATTAGACAATGAGCTGACCTAAACCATACTTTAAAGTGAGGATTAGTTAGTGACCGCCAGCTGTTTATTAAACCAAACTGATGATATTTTAGTTTTAAGAATTTATCTTTGCTATTGACCACTTATCAAGCCAAACTGATTGGTTGTCTTTAGACCTGCTATCTCGGGAGAAATTTAGTATTTATAAATTCACTACTTTGCTACTTCTCAGTGGCGAAACTAGGAATTTTTTTAAGGTTGTTCAAACTTGAAATAAGTAAAATTTTGGACAAAGGGTGTTCAATATATGTTATGTACCTCTAAAACCTACATATATACACAATGTTATTTTCCGACAAAAGGGTGGTCAATTGACCACCCTAAGCAAAGTGTGGCTTCGCCCATGCTACTACTACTTTATTTCTTCTTTCTTGAGCCGAGGGTCTGTCAGAAATAGCTCCTCTATCTTCCTAGGATAGGAGTAAGGTCTGCGCACACGCTACCCTCCCCAGATCCCATTTGTGAGATCCCACTGGGTTGTTTGTTGTTGTATAAATTCACTACTTTATGAAATGAACGGATATGTGATGCTTAGCTTATTCATTTACACAGTGGGAATAAATAAGAGGGAAATAGAGATATGCAACAACTGAGTCATGACCTACTCAGATAGTATTTGAAATTCTTAAAAAGAAAATGGATGACTTAGATTAATTATCTGGCCTAAGTTTTACATCAGCATCATCTTTATATACATGCATTAATATATAGCTCAGGTCAATTCTTAGTAGTGCATGGCATTAAGCTCCTAAAGAAGTTCTAACATTCACAATATTCTGTAGCTGTGTATTCTTGTTATTTTTGTTCATCTTGTTCATTTTCTCTGCTATGTTACATTAACATGAATGCTATTAGTACTGCTGCTGGTGCAACAGAGTGGAGAATTAGAATGTCTGATGGCTCGTCCGCGATTTTGGTACCAGAATCAAGCGTTATAACTAGAATATATATTTCAGTTAAAAGCTTCTTTAAAACCATTATCTTGGTATTCTGGAGATTTTTGGAGAAAGCATGGAACATAGGAATGAATGAACCTAGAAAAGTGATCCACTGTATCAAGGTTGGAATTGCTCTAAGTTTCGTCTCGCTATTTTATTATATGAAACCTTTATATGAAGGTGTTGGAGGAACTGCAATGTGGGCAGTTCTAACTGTTGTGGTGGTTTTTGAGTACACTGTAGGTAGGTATTCATCAATTCTAAACATTTTTGACTTACTTCATTTTATTGTATGCAGTCTTACCTTGTATTTCTTCAAAAGGCTGTTTCTACGGCTCGAACCCATGACCTCCTGGTCATATGGCAGCAACTTTACCAGTTACGCCAAGGCTCCCCTTCGTTCATTTTACTCTTTTTGTATAGTGAAAATGAAAAGGCTAAAAGTTTCAAGAAAATTGCAGGTGCAACACTTTACAAATGCTTAAACAGAGCTACTGGAACTTTTCTTGCTGGATTTCTTGCTATAGGAATCCACTGGATTGCCAATCAATCAGGCAAAAGATTTGAGCCTATAATTATGGGAGCTTCCATTTTCATATTAGGTGAGTGATCTTTGTAAATAAGCATTACTTTTTGCATATGGAATATAGATTATCTGTTCTCATTTTCTTTTCTTTCACTCTACTAGCCTCAGCGGCAACCTTTTCAAGATTCATTCCTGCAGTGAAAGCGCGGTTTGATTATGGCGCTATGATCTTCATCTTGACTTTCACTTTGGTTTCAATATCTGGATATCGCGTTGAGAACTTATTGAACATGGCTCACGAGAGAGCATCAACGATCATTATCGGAGCTTCTTTGTGTGTTATTACAAGCATTCTCATATTTCCAATTTGGGCTGGTGAAGAGCTCCATAAACTTGTCATTAGTAATTTGGAAAAGCAAGCAGAGTCCTTAGATTGTAAGTCTTTTGCCTAAACTTTAGATATAGTTCTGAAATTTCATTATATATAGTCTTAAATTTGGTCTTCAAATGTCATTTTAGGCTGTGTAGCTGAGTATTTTAGTGTCACTGAAGACACAAAAACCAATACTAAGAAAATGTTAGCTTTCAAGTGTGTGCTGAATTCTAAGGCCTCAGAAGAAACAATGGTAAGTTTCTGTCAACATCAATATAAAAAACCTTGACAACTTTCAGGGATTAAACAAAACTTAGTATTAATACTATATATCTTTTACCGATAAAAGGGTAGCCCGGTTGCATTAACCTCCCGCTATGTATGAGGTCCGGGAAAGTGCCAGACCACATGGGTCTATTGTATGTACCTTACCTTCATATCTTTTATTTGATAGACCACAAGGGTCTATTGTACGCAGCCTTACCATGCATTTCTGCAAGAGGCTATTTTCACGGCTCGAACCCTAACCCGTGACCTCCTGATCACAAGGCTGCAACTTTACCAGTTACGCCAAAACTCCCTTTCATATCTTTTACTGATAGACCACAAGGGTCTATTGTACCCTGCATTTCTACAAGAGACTGTTTTTACGGCTCGAACCCAGTGACCTCCTAGTCATATGGCAGCAACTTTACCAGTTACGCCAAGGCTCCCCTTCGTATCTTTTACTGATAAAACATGGAATTATTTGCCAGGCCAACTTTGCAAGATGGGAACCAGCTCATGGCAATTTTAACTTTCAACATCCATGGAAATATTATCTTAAGATCAGTGCATCGATGCGAAGTTGTGCCTGTTGCATTGAATCTCTAACTAGCTGTATCAATCAAAAAGATCAGGTTTATAATCTGAATTCATAAATCCATTAGTCTGTAATTCCTTTTTTTCTAAAAGACGAAAATCTTTATTGTGTTATAGGCATCTGAGTTCTTAAGAAAGCAGCTTAGTAACACTTGCCAACAAGTAAGTTCAAGTACAGCTGAGATATTGAAAGAGTTAGCACTGAACATGAAAACTATGAGAAAATCCTCCAGGATTGATATCTTAATACAAGAAAAGAATAGCGCGATTCAAGAGTTGGAAACTCAGCTGAAAGAAGTCTCAGGATTGCTCATTGTGCCAAAGGGGGCCAAGAATGACAAGGAAGAAGAGAAGCCAGTTGTGAGAACAGGCAATGTTATACCAATGGTGGAAATTATACCAGCTGCAACATTTGCTTCGTTAGTTATTGAAATCGCTACGAGGATTGAAGGAGTTGTTGATGCAGTTGAAGAATTATTCAAAATGGCCAAATTCAAAATTGAAGATGCTGAGATGATCAAACCAAACCAACCAGTCATCAAGATCATAAACTAGTAGGAGTATTACTGATAGATAAACTTTAATCAATACTTCATGTCTTAGTATGTTCACGTGACCAAATGCTCATGTTGTACTACTCATCCCACTCCTAACACTTCACTGTGTATGAATAATACTAGTTTCTGAGCACGTGTGATCAATACAGACTTGTTAGAACAATATAAATACTATTAAAATATCATGCTACCCTATAAATACAAGTCCCAACATAGTAAGCAGTTAGAAGAAAATAAACTTATCTAATAGCCCCCNAACGAAAGAGATTCTCATATACCCCCCCCCCCCCCCCCAACCCCCCAAAAAAAAAAACAGTTTTACCTGTCGCTAGCAGTTTTATTGTTGGAATCCTTTTTTTAAAGAAGAAGTCAATGGCCGAGTAAGAAATAAGAGTAGTAGATCATATTCGATGAAAGAAAAAATCGAATAATTGGAATCCATAATTGTGATGCATTGTTGTGGATCTCGATCCAAAGGTTCTTTCTTGATCTCAAAAACGAAAATGACTTTATTGACCTGATCAGGAGAAAAGAAGTTTTTCAATTTTTTGTGATACTTCTTAATTGTTAATTGAATGAAATTGTAATGGGGTATGAATTGACGTAGATGCTTTTATTTCGCAAATTTGTCGACATCGAGTTCGTGAAAAGAACCAAATTCTTGTTGGCGATTATTTATGATAAAAAAAATGAAATTCTGAAAACTGCTTTGTTTTATTTGCAAGTGTTGCTATGTCACGACCCAAAATTCACTAAGGATCGTGGTGGCGCCGGACACTGCTGTCAGGCAAGCCAACCAAATTACTTGATGAAGTTCTCGTTTTAACAATCTTGAAAACTAAGATTTTCCTTAAATTTTTATAAATGAAAAGATAACCGCTTCAATTCAAACTAAATGATAAGCAATTAATACAAAATATTTCAAAACCAACCCAGAACCCGGTGTCACAAGTGCATGAGCATTTATTAAGAAGGGAATAAAACACAACAACTGTCTGGAACACAATATTGGACAGAAAATAAATACAGATAACTGAAAGAGACTCTGCTGGTAGCGGGTCGCCTCGAGAAGTGCAGCTCACCTAAGTCTCCGTATCAACCATGCTGCTACGCCCAGTAGGCCACTAGAGTTACATATACCTGCGCAACAAAAATGCACAGAAGTATAGTATGAGTACAAAAAAAATAACGTGTACTCAATGAGTATCCCGTCTAATTTCGAAGAAGTAGAGACGAGATGGTCGACTTCGACACTTACTAGTGGTCCAATAATATGTCAATAATACATTAAATCGTGGATTTCTATAAACATGATTTTAATCTAATAGAAGGAGACAAGTAAACAATTAATTTGTTTATAGGAAATTTCCAAAATTCCTTTTCATTATTATCCAAATATTCTCAAGCCATGAAGAGGCAAAAACAACTTTAATAATTCAAGGCAGCAATACAAGCATGCGCAAATCATGCCGAGGCGTACGGCCCGCTCCAACAGAAAATAAACTGTGCATTGCCGAGGGTCGAACGGCACGAACCATAGATGCATCTATTACCCCGCTCGCGAACTATCCATGCGACGCGGTCAACATAAAATGAACAATCACCCTGCTCGCGAATCATACATGCGACGCAGGCACACATAGAAATACATGCTCAGATAGCCAATTAAGAATTTATCGGGGAATATTTATTCAATAAAAGCCACTTTCTCTTTTTAACAACTTAAGAAAATAAGTTTAATCCTTTTTTAAATTTATTTAGTAATTCGACGTGGTTTAAGCAATTCGAGCTGTCAATAAGTTTACAATTAATCCAAGTATAGCATGTTTTTGGGTCCTAGACTACCCGGACAATAGCATGATAGTAGCTACGCACGGACTCTCGTCACCTCGTGCGTACGTAGCCCCCACAAATAGGAGCACATAACCAATTAATTTACCTATGGGAACAATTCCCTCTTACAAGGTTAGAAAGGAGACTCACCTCGCTCCATAATGCACTCCCAATGCCAAGAACAAGTCCAAGCCCTCAATTCGGAGCCGAACGATCCCAAACTAATTTAACGAAGTAAGAACTAGTTAATATAGACTCATAAGATCGAATTCTAGCTATTTAAGCAATTTCTAAACCATTAACACAAGTTTTCCCAAAATCCGACCCCGGACCCACATGTCCGGATTCCGAAATTTTTCGAAGGAAGTTGTTCTCTACCACCTAAGGATCACTAATATACGATTTCTAATTAATTCCATAACAAATTTCGTGGTTAAATCCAAGTTTTATTAAAACCCTAGGTTTAGCTCTAACCCCCTTTGATTTCTCCAAACCTAGGTGTTAATCTACCCAAAACTTGAGTATTAAACTTACATTAAGTAGAAATAACTTACCTCACAATGCTATGTTGAATTCCCCTCTTTGAAAGCTCCAAAATCGCCCAAGTGTAGAGTTAAAATGAAATAAATGCCCTAAGTCCCGTTTTAAAAGCTATGCCCAGGCCTCTGATGTCGCATTTGCGCCACCAGGATCGCAAATGCGAAGTCGCAATTGCGACAATACGTTCGCAAATGCGAACTGGGCCCTTTTCTGCCTTGATCGCAAATGCGATGGAGGGGTCGCAAATGCGGACCTTGCTGGGTTCGCAAATGCGAAGCAAAAAGTCGCAAATGCGACCACTGCCCCAGTCGGCCAAATTCACAAATGCGATGCCAACCTCGCAATTGCGATGACCATCTCGCAATTGCGAGATCTGCACCAGCAACAAAAATACCAGAAAAACTGGTGTGTTTTTCTACCTCCAACCATGACCGAATCTCACCCGAGCCCTCGGGGCTCCCCTCCGAACACTCACGTAAGTCCTACAACATTGCACAAACTTGCTCAAGCAATCAAATCGCCGAAATAACACCTAAAACCACGGATTCAACACCAAAACGCATGAGATCCTTAAGAACATCCAAATTCCTATCTTTTCAACCGGACGTCCGAATCACGTCAAATCAGTCCCGTTTCTCACCAAATTTCACAGACAAGACTAAAATATTATACCGAACCTGTACCGGGCTCCGGAACCAACATACGGGCCCGATATCAAGATGATCAAGCATTTTTCCTCTTTATTAAACTTTTAGGATTTCAATTTAACAATTTTCAATAAAAATTCATTACTCGGACTAGGGACCTCGGAATTCGATTCCGGGCATACGCCTAGGTCCCATATTTTCCCACGGACCCTCCGGGACCATCAAATCACGAGTCCGGGTCCATTTTCCCAACAAGTTGACCGATGTCAAACTTGGTCTTTTAAGAGAATCCTAAAGAAACAATTGGACATATTTCACTCAAAACTCTTCCAACTCCCGAGCTAACCGTCCCCGCAAGTTGTAAATTAGCTAAAGCAAGCACGGGAAGTTTTATTTAAGGGAACGGGGTTCTAAAAGGCAAAACGACCAGTCGGGTCGTTACATTTAAGCTTCCGAAATGAGAATTCTCTTCCCAAATCAACTCGGAACTTCCCGAAATCCAATCCCGACCACGCGTACAAGTCATAATACCTGAAACGAAACTGCTCATGGCCTCAGACTGCTGAACGACGCGCTAGGGCTCAAAACAACCGATCGGATCGTTACATGCTAAGTGAAATATCGAAATAAAAAAGCAGAATTTTTGTGAGAAAAAGAGAATTTCCAACAGAAACATGAGAAATAGGATAATGTGATGAAGTAATTAGACACCTTGTTATTCACTCTTATAATACAAGGAGTAATAAGAATGTGAAAATGGTATCCAATAATATATTACCACAGAAGCTAAAAGGAACATAACAATCAAATGCAATGATTCATAAAGAGGACAAAAGGGAAGAAGTAGGGCCGGCTCCAACCTTATCTGGAGTAAGGCTTGTGCCTTAGGCGCCCAAATTTAGCGGCCCATATTTTAAAAATAATAAGTTTATAGATATTTAAAAAAATAATATTTAATATTTTCAATACAAAACTAAAGTTTTTAATATAAAGGAAAGAAACTTTTTAGATGTATAAATAAAATAATAATTTAACTTACTTAAAAATGTGTAGATGAATAGCTTTCGTACCTTTTAGTTTCCCACTTTTTACTTTTCCATTAAAAAAATTGTTCTCTCTTCCTTAATTTGTCCAAGTCAATATATTTTTTTTTCAATCTCTTCATATTTAAAATTCTACATTTTTTTGGTGTTTCTCTTTGATATTCTTACTTACTTCTTTCTCCAAGATTTCATTACTCACCTTCTTTCTTCAAGATTTCACTAGTTCTATACTTCTATTGCTTTGTAAAATCTTACCCAAGATCAATAATATCTCAACAAAGATTAAATAAGTTGGCTATATTATCAACCGAGCAAGAATTATTAGATAAAATCGACTTCAAATAAAAACATATTTTATAACTTTCTTTTAGAAATTTAGGCCTCATATTAAACTTTGGCTTTAGAACCGTATGTGCTTGAGTCGCCCATGGGAAGGAGAAATCAATAGAAGCATAAGCTTGCAACCTGCAAAAAAGAAGGAATAAAAAATACAAGTAAAAGCTCTGCAACTAATAACAGAAAAAAAAAGCCTATACCATGCCACGACTTACTTATGTAAACTGAAATTCCCAGATTTATTATTTTGAAACTCCATTATAGAAGGTGGGATCAGGTCTCAAGTTTTATCTTCCACTACAGTTTGTCTAATACTATTCAGTATCCCAATATAGTTTGCAAGATTATCATGAATTTTCATTTATAAGAGTAAATTAAAAGGTTCTAAAACGTTAATAATCTTGGATCATAAAAAGTTTTGAAAACGGAAGTCTTTTCATCTTCCTCCTTTAATTTTGTAATGTATTTAGACACTTCTGAAATTTTTAAAATAAGCTAAATGATATACTAATGAGGAAAAAAAAGAAAATGATAATTTTTGTATTAGGGATAAAACGGCCACTCAACTTTAAAAGGATATTTTCGTAAACCAGCTTTTAACTTAAATGTCTTCTCACTTTTAATATAGTATGATGATATGATATGATGATTAGTCGGAATAACTTCTTTAAAAGTTACGAACATCCACCATAATACTATTTATATATTTCATAACATGTTAGTTTTTATGA